TGACAATAGCCACATGCGCTCCTCCTTTATCTTACTTGATATCCTCTACTACATTCTTGCTACTACGGTTGTCGGGTCTGGTACTCCTGAAAGAATGATCAACGAAGATCCTAAGTATCCTCCATCTCTCCCTCTACATACTATACGGTCAAAGCTCCCATCATGCCGTTATGGGAAAGGCCACCGTCAACATGAATCTTGCAATACCACTCAATCGGCTGGAGGTTTCCAGGAAGAAGAAACACCCCGTTCGAACTATATTCTGGTTGCCACTGGAGTAGGAAGTGCCTTTATAGTACCCATCCATGCGATTTGATGGCAGCCAACCGTAGGAACTGATGCGGGCCATCGAATCGTTGATCGCATCGGACAACAAACAGCGCTGACGCCAAGTTCAGTTTCTTCCTTAGATCAGGAGGAGTGGGACGTTGATCTACCGGCTAAGGATGGGTGGCGGCATGGTGTGTCCTGAAAATCCTCTCTAGGATTTAAATGGAAGAAAGAGAGAACGCTTTGAGTTAAAGCTCGTTGGTATCCATGTGTACAACCATTCCTTTCATACATACTCTCGATCGATTGTACGAATATTTCAGAGGGAGGTGGCTCACGTGGAGGCCTTGAGATATGAGACACGAACACGTCCACCCTGGCAAGCAGATAGACGAGAGGAATTTTGGAGAGAAGAGAGACCGAGAGAGCGAAGGTGCGAGATTGGCCAACTTTGACACTTTGACAGGGCACGTAGTGTCATTTCTACAGGTGAAGTTAATTCTTCTTGCGTCGCTGATCGGTGGGTTCCGGCTTGAGCCAAAGAAGGGAAACATTGCACGGTAACCAGCCCAAACAGACGGCACAGATCGCTCAAAGAAACATTCGGACGGTGGAAAATGTGCGCGGCGAGGATGGCTGTAGCAAGTTTTTTTTAAACACAGTACAAACACAACCACTCATATACACGTGCATACACTCACCCCCTATGAACGCACACACGTACACCCTACCCCTATGAGCACCTCCGAAAGACTGAGCCGGCATATCATTTTGAAATTCACGAAGTCACCGTAGGCAAGTTAATGAAATTTTTTGACATAGGAAATATGGAACAAGTTTATGTTTATGTTTATGTTTGTGAAAAAAATCTCTTTGGTGGCACCCAAAAACCGTAGGAAGTGACGTGACGTGGGCCATCAGATGGTAGATTGCATCGGAGGGCAAACAACGCCCACGCCGGCCGAGTTGGGCCCAGGTCGAGGCCCAGCGGCGAGCGGCGGTCGTCCCTCTCCGGCGGCTCCTCCACGGACGCCACCGCCTCCCACGGCGCGCCGCCCATCATCGTCCTTCTATCTTGCTTGCTGTCTGTAGATCGTCAACTCTGTCAGATTGGTGTGAGGTTTCTGGGTCTGCTTCATTTTCTTTGCTTTGCCAACATTTGCAATCCATCCAGCAGTAATACAGTAGTACCTTACCTGAGCAAGTAGAGCCTGGATTGTGCAGCTCATAGTAGCCGGAAACAGGGAACGGTGGGCCGTCCCTCGATCCGGATTTATCGACCCAGAATCAGATTCGGGAACGAGGGTCGATTCGGTAAGATTCGATGTGGATTCGGTGTTTCCGCAGCCGGATCGTCGATTCAGATTCGGCGACTCGACAGCCTTAGTTCTTGAATCGATGGAGTAAGCAAAAGGTCAGCCATATCAATCACGAACTCCTCGTTTTACTCTCTGCCCCGTTCTTTTCCACTCCCCTAAATAACTCCTCGTTCTGCTCTCCAATTACTCCAAGGCTACTAATAAATTTTCCATTGGGAAGGAGATGATATATTTTAGTCTTCATGAATCGACGATTCACGTTCCTCGTTCCATGGTACCGTACCGGATTCATCGTATCGGAATTGATTGGATCGCGTTTCCGCTTTAGAAAAAACATTCTAGAGATGTATACCCCCGCTGTACCCTATTCTTTCCAGCCTCCGACTCTCGTCCCCCGTTCCCGTTCCTCGTTCCCACCGTACCGGAAACATAGCAACTATGGTGCAGCTCAACAGCTTCAGTAGGACGAACCTCGGCTGTATGGAATGGAACTATGAATTCAATATTTCCCACTTGCCTTAACAACAGAGACAAGAGGTGTCCTCTATGTCGCTTGTTCATATTTCTGTGTGCTTGCTTGCGCACTGTATTTATACCGTCGGAGAGAGCCTATCCTACAGTTTTACTTTTCTCCTTTCTTATAAACATATGGAAGAAAAAAAAAGTCTTAACAAAGTAATAAAAAGGATAGTAGAAAATAGGATTAAGAATGGCCCACTTTTCATTACTTGGCATCATAGAGAATGGAAACAACAAGTTCCTCTATCATGTTAGGATACTTTTCACTACTTGGCACAATAGAAACAACAAGTCTTAACAAAGTGGAGTAGAAAAATGTAACACAGGATTCTAGCAAAAAGCCAGGAAAATTCGCTGCCGATGCAAACCTGGATCATGACGATAGACACAGACAACGGGGCAAAAAACCTGGTGAACCATACTTATCCTATTATTACAAACCAAATAGCAGGAATAACATGCAGTTTTAATACAGAAGAAGAAGTCTTAACAAGGAAAATAGGAAATAGGATTGGGCATATGCCACTTTTCAGTATACTCAGCGTTATGCCAGGAAAACCTGCTGTCCATGCCTGACCATGAGTCATGACCACAATAGGCACAGACTACGGGGCAAAAAACCTGGCTCTTCATACTATCCTAATTATTACAGACCAAGTATCATTCAGGAATAACAAGCAATTTTAATTTAATACAATTCTTAAGAAAAGCAGTACTGCAGTTTAACTGATCATTCAGCACAGCAACGCTATCATTCAGGGCTGGGCAGCCTCATTGTCATCCCCTCTCCTGAAGCTCTACGTTGGTGTGAACCGGCTGTGGCAGGTGCAGCGGAACTGCTGCTGCCCAAGTTCAGGCAAGCCAAGCACGCCCACCGCCTCCACGTCCGTGTTGGCACTGGAGGAGATGTACCCGTGGCGTCGACACCGCTTTCTATTAGATGAGGGACAGGATGGTTGTCATCGTCGTGGTGGGAGTCGTCGGACTGCAAAAGAAAGAAGGGAGTTTGAAATGAAGAAATCATAGGAATGGGAAAAGAAACTTAGCAGCTAGGAGTGAAGTAATAAGTAGGTACCTCTTGTTCTGTCCCCTCGGAGTCCGATTCTTCTTCCTCCTCCTCCTCCTCGTTGGTCATCTGAGTAGACATGCACCAACAGTGATAGTATGATCAAAAGAAAGAAGGGAATTGAGGGCGGAATTGAAAAAGAAACCAGCGAGCTAGCTAGTTTGGATGGAGTAGTACCTCTTGTTCGGTCTGTTCGGAGTCCGATTCTTCTTCCTCCTCCTCGTCGTTGGTTATCTGAGCAGACGTGCACCGACAGTGATAGTATGATCAAAAGAAATAAGGGAATTCAGGGCGGAATTGAAAAATAAACCAGCTAGCTAGCTAGTTTGGATGGAGTAGTACCTCTTGGTCGGTAAGTTCGAAGTCCGATTCTTCTCCCTTGTAACATTCACCTTGTTCATAAAGATTAAGGGTGGGATTGTTGGGATGGGTGTCGATTGCTTGCCTCACCGCTGCTTTCACCTTTTCAATATCAGAGGTATATGCATTATGGCACATGATGTGAAAGTTCACTGTCCGAAGCGCAGGGAGGTTCCCCAGGCTACCAATAAAGGCCAAATCAGTGCTGGCAGCCTTCAAGGCACGGACTTCCACTTGGATAGAAATGTGTTCAAGGCTCTGCATACTTCCTTGCAGAAACCTAAATGACCCCCTCACATTGCAGCCCCTCAACTTGGGGAATGCGCCATCAGGGAATTCCATGCCCCCCGGAATCTCCATCTGTACAAGGCAAGTAAGCTCTGGCAAACTCCCAAGGGTCACCACATCCAGCTCCGTCAAATAACACACTCCTACGTGGGTGAGGTTCGGAGTGACCGAGGAATTAATCCACGCCGGGAGCCTACTGAAACCATTAAATATGGTCAGATCTTGGAGTTGCGGAGGGGGCTCATAGCCTTCCCAGTAGTCACCTGACCACAATCCTGGCCACTGCCTCCCAGAAAACTGCCGTACAACTTGTATTTTCCGCAGATTGCATAGAGAATCCACCAAAGTTTTCCACCAGCACTCATCCACACATGCAGATAACTTATAGTGGAGCACCCTCAGTTCTGTCAGCTTGCTAAGCTCTTTAGCGAAGATAGAAGACTCGTCAGCAGTATACAAATATAGCTCTTCCAAGGATGTCAGATTCCCTATCCAATTCGACACTGTTATAGTACCTTTAACGTTAGCACGCAGACACTTGAGTTTCCTCAGTAAACCAATACTCTCTGGTAGCTCTTTTATATTTGTGTCCCTCAAGTCTAGTGTCTGCAGAAACTTTAGATTTCCTATTTCTTCTGGGGGCTTACTAATATCTGTGCTCTCTAGTCCCAGGTATCTCAACTGAGGTAACATCCCAAGATGCTCAAGAGGGTAAGGATGGTCTCTATTAAATCTGCACTTTTCCATCACTAGAACACGTAACACTTGAAAGTTTGAAAGTGGCAGCACCACATTGGAATTAAAATTGGCGGCATAGCACGATCTCAGTTTTGGCATGCTCATGTTAGCCAGAGGCACAACTCTCTTTTGGAGGGCTAACCTACGGGCATTGCATTGTGAAGGTCTGTGCTCCTTGTTACTATCCAATATAGTAACAAAATTTTGTTCCTTTGATAATAAACAAATCATATCCAGCACCATATCGTGAATACGGCAAGCATATATTGTGTACTTTTCATTCTCTACCGGCTGGATCATGTTTCTATTCAAGAGTTCATTAAAGTACCTTTCTCCGGTCTCAAATAAACTTACCCCTAGTTCCTCATGAACAAAACCTTCGGCGACCCACTGCCATATCAATGTGTCTTTTATCATCAAACAGTCTTCGGGATATATGCTCAGATGCAGCAGACAAGACCTTAGAGCATCTCCAATAGCCGCGCTAAACTAGCGCCGCGCCGCAAATTAAGCCGTTTTAGCACGCGCGCAACGCGGCGGGTCGCTCCAGCGGGCGCGCAAAAACGGCGCGCGCGTTATAACGGATTGGGCGCGCGCTCGAAAACACTTAGCCGCGCGGTATATTTCGGGCGCCCGCTGCAGCGCGCGGCACACTCCAGCGCTCGCGCCCGCACTTCCTCTCCCACTTCCACCCCCCGTCCAGCCGCGCCGCCGCCGCCGCCCGCGCCCCCGGCGACCGTTCAGGCTTCCCCGGCCTATCCCTGCGCGCCCGCGCTTCCGCCCCATCACCTCCTAGTCCCGCCGGCCCTCGCGCGCCTCCGTCGTCCGAGGAACAGCGCCCAAGCGCTCGCTGCCGTGCCGCGTCCGCAAGGTGTTTGACAAAACGCCTACAAGGTATGTATTGCTCAAACTTCATGAATTTGATGCATGTTTTGAATTGTAGTTTTTATAGTATAGTATTGAACATTGTAGATGAGTTCGTCGTATGATTCTTTCGAAGAAGAATTTGATATGGAAGAGGAGGAAGATCTTGCAATGATCCTAGCTATGCATATAAAAAAAACGAAGCACGGTGGTTCGGTTATGGGTCGGCAGAAAAGCCGGAAGGTAAGAAAAATCTTGACTTCCACAATGCTCATGCAGCAGCTAGAAAAGATGTGGAGAGAGCATTTGGGATTTTGCAAGCCCAATTTGCTATTGTGAGAGGACCGGCTAGATTTTGGGATTAAAAAATGCTTTGGTACATCATGCACGCTTGTGTGATCATGCACAACATGATCATCAAGAATGAGCGTGGCCAAGATTTAGACTACTCACAGTATGAGCTCTTGGGATATCCCGTGCGAGTGCGACGGAGGGCTGAAAGGGTAGCCCGTTTTATTGCCTCCTATCATGCCATTCGGCGTCCCGCAACGCACAATGAACTTCAGAATGATTTGATTGAAGAGTGGTGGGCATGACATGGACGACAAAGAGCATGATGATATCTGCATTTGACATTGTATTGTTCATGAACTATTTGTTGTGTTTATTGCATTTGTTGTACTGAACGATAAACTATTTGTTTGAGTTGTAATGATAACGAAATTGAACTATTTATTGTTGATTTATTTTGTTTGTTTGATCATTTTTGCTCATGTATATGTGGTTTGTGCGGCGCGCGCGCTGTATTTTTGCGCTCTGCTGGAGCAGCGCGCGCGTTGCATTATAGCGCGGCTGCTGGAGCCAGCGCAGGCGGGCGCGCTAAACCAGCCGAAGCGCGCGCGGCAAACAGGTTTTTTGCGCGCGGCGCTTAGCGCGGCTGTTGGAGATGCTCTTAGATGATAAGGTAGATCATAATAACTAAATGATAATATCCTCCTCGAGTTATCTACATCCATGTTATTATCTCTAGATCCAAAACCAATAGAGTTGAATACTTTAGCCCAATCCAACATAGGTTTACCAGCCAACAAACTAGCTATTGTAATTATAGCTAATGGCACACCTCCACACTTCCGTAAAAAATTTGTTGATACTTCGGCCAGTTGATCAAAAGGGCATTTATCCTTACCACCAAACAATCTTGTATAGAATAATTCTTCAGAAAAATGTTGAGAAAGGGGTTTTATCCTGTAAATATCACCGGTGTTTGTGGAAATTTTGAGAATACGAGTAGTTGTGATTACTCGGCTCCCATGATTGTTATCAATGAAAGCACATTTAATAATGTTCCATGCTTCTAAATCCCATATGTCATCAATGACAATGAAGTACCTATCAACAAGACAACACAAGAGACATGCATTAGCTAGTAAAACCATTTGGAAAATATGTTAAAAAATGCATAGCAGCCACTCAGTAAGGAATATAAATGCATATGGAATTATTCAATCTACAACAATTAAAAAAAAAGAAAACGAGGGAGTAAGCTACTGGAAAAATGCATGCATGAGTTTGATTGATCTAATTTCTTTCATCAAAACTGTTGTTCTTATTTATTTCATCCCTCAAATTTAAATATATTTTTATATATTGAATTTGGTTTTCAGTTACCAGCTTGAACACATACTTATATTCCAGTTCCAAACTGAACTTGTGAGAATCTTTGGTAGTTTGTTCAGGACCCAAATGATATTAAAGCTTGAAAACATGTTAAATTTAGTCCATTTTATATCAGAACATGAATAGGCTCTCCAAAGCCAAATTTTCTACAAGACCCAAACGAAATGAATGGTTTGTAACTGGTTGCTTCATTGGATTCAATGCCCCCTTATGACATTGAGAAGCGCCACCTAGCTGGTAAGAGTCAAAAGGAATAGTATTTCTTTATGCATTTGCCAGTTCCATGTAGATGGCATCCATCCTAACATGTAATGCCGCATTGTCTCACTACATCTAACACATTAGGTTCTACACCTCATATATTATCGATGGTATTTTCAACTTATACCGCTGTACTTGGGAATAATTAGTCAGCTCAATTTGTTGGTTATGAGATATATACTTGATTAAGGCCAGGGCCGGCCCATAGCTTTGCGGGGCCCTGGGGTAAGACATCAACAAGGGGCCCTTGTTGATTCGAAAGCTAAAAATATTTTCTATTTAAAAAGAAAAGTAAATATCTAGTGCATAGCATAGACGATGATCTTTGGACTTTAGAATTGACACTACAATTTATTTATTGATAAGGAGAACTACACCATGATAGTAATGAAATAATTTAATTCCACATAAACTCGCTTTACTAAATATTAACAACGGAGAATTCATTTTGTCTAGAATTATGTCTAGAATTACTATCTCAACTAAAATATCCCTAGCCTTATCAATCATATTGTCATAGTTTGGAGGATCCAAAATATCAATAGTGCATGATTGTTGTTCATCGACTCCCGGTGTTTCTGAATTTGGTTAGTGACTTAGGTTTTCAACTTTTCATGTTGGCTAGAATTATTATCACCATCGTTCATATCATCATTAGTAGCATCTGTATTCTCGGTCAGTTGCTCTTAAACACATACTATGGCTAGTTCCAGGGGGTCCCTAGAAGAATTACTAGTTCTGGAAAAATTGTCAATTAGTCATTTTTGGGTTTCTACCAATTCATCTTTGAGCTGCCTTTTACTGTTCTTTTTTACCCGATAAACACTTTCTAGACGACATGACACTAACAAGAACAATTAGCATAAATGATTAATATAGGGAACAAACACACCTAAATATGGATTGATGTGGATCTTGATTGCCAGATCCGCAGGTTGCAGTATTCAGCATGAACGAGAAGACGACACCAAGAACTGAATAATTTCCCCCATTCTGCAGTTCTCCTAATCTTCTGACTCTCGAGGACTCTCTCACACTTAGATCCAGTGAATATTAGAAGAACACCTGTGCAGGTAGATGTGGACTCCTCAGAGCAGGAGGACGGAGCCATTTAATTGAGGAGGGACGGGATTATGTGAAGGAAGAAAGGAAGAACACCTACCGTCTCCATGTTTCCAACATCTAGTTGATGGGGAACGAATAATATTGAGAAGGGAAGGAGAGCTGATATGGGAACAGATTTTTGCCTTTAATCTCCATTAAGGTCCAACAGTAACCTTGGAATTGGAAACGCATGGGAGCGGCGGCGCTGTTTATGGGAGTCGGGATCTTGCGATCTGGAGGAATCGAGGAGAAAGATTGGCGATGGGTTTTGCCCCAGCGCCACGACCGAATGGGCCCTCTATTTTCTCAATAAATTTCTTGGGCTTCTTACGACCTATGAAGGAATACTACCTCTTGGTTGGGGCCCCTGCCTTCCGGGGGCCCAGGGCGGACGCCCCGTTTGCCCGGCCTATGGGCCGGGCCTGATTAAGGCGGGTGGTTTGTACCTTGCATTCTCAAGTTGTCGTCGGAGTTTGTCGATGAGTTGTCTTTCATCTAGTGTGGCTACATCACCAATACACTCACTCTTGTCAAGTTCCAAGAGGATATCCTTGAGAACTTTCGCCACTTCAGGGTTTTGACCCACCGGAACAAAAGCTGTGTATTCAAATTGTGTTTGAAGTCTATCATACACTGCCTTAGCAAGTGTAGTCTTGCCAAGTCCGCCATGTCCAACGATGGAGACCATCTTCAAATTGTGCTGCTGCTGCATGGGACCATCATCATTACCATCTGTGAGCCTCTTGATTAGTTCGTTTCGTGCATCTTCAATGCCAACGAGCTCTTTCTGATCCTTGTACAAAGCCAAAACACGAGGGTCAACCTTGTGTTTGCCAGCTGCATTGGCAATCGCATCGTCGACCCTGTATCTATCACGCCGGTCAGCCACCTCTTGGGCGCGGTTCTTGATTTCATTGATGGCATTGGCGATCTGATGGCGAGTCTTGCCATTGGTGAACAAGCTAGCCATCTTCCCCACCAGCTGTTTGAGCTTGTTTGAGTCGGGGACGGATTCAGATCCATCGACGTACACCAGGAAGTTGTCGATGACATCCTCCATGTCATAGGACAGCTCCCTGAGTTCGTCAGCCCAGATGATGACCTGGTTGTCCAGCTGGTCCCTTGGCACCTCCGCCACCTTGGTAAGGGCGGCGTTCATGCTCCTCATCTCCCTTTCGAGGGACTCGACTCCCTCCTTGATGCCCATCTGCAGCTTGTACTCCCCCACGAGCAGCTCGCCGAGCTTGGGGAGCAGGCTTCCCATGGCACCAGTCACCACGTCCATCCTGGGCAGAATTAGAATCAATCCTGCTCTCCTCTCAATGTATGGATGGACCCTTTAGCTAGGAATATATGGTCCGTTGTAGAATTCCTGTAACACACACAGATTGGTAGTTAGAAGACAGGGATATATGCTCCGTTGTAGGTAAACTAAGTGAAATTGTTCTCCATGGTAGGAAATAGACAGGAAAAATAAATGCATCCACTCCAACACCAAGAATCTGGCTGCTTACTAAGTAGAAGTAGAAGCAGCATAGCTGAGTATGGCACCCACCCTAGCTGACAAACAAATCCAACACCGAGTAGCAGCCGGCAGCCGGCAGCTAGATCTGGTAGGCTCTTGTCTCTTGAGAGACCGCCTCCAAATGGCAGATCCGTGCTTGCTGAGACAAGAAGAAGAAGAGCAAGTGAGGGACGGTAATGAAGTGAGAGCATGAAAAGTTTTAGTTTCATGGGGAAAAGATCAATGTGGCTGAGAAGATAGAGCATTTACACTTGCAGCAATGGCGGTTCAGAGAAAAACTGAAGGTGATCTACTCCTCTTGGTCTTGCAGCCGGTTCAAAGCGCAATGGTGGTCAGGGACATTGAGCAGCGTGAGGTGCCCCCGGCCGCAACTTGTGTTTGAGCACAGCGAAGAGCAAGGGCAGTAATGGAGGAGTGGTGTGTTACTGGCTTACTGCTGGTCTGCTGCTACCTCTGGGAGAGCACAAAGTACTGATGCGCGCTTTATAACATGCCCTCGCCAGTGGAAGCTCTAACGCCGGTGGCTCCGTGTGGAGCGGCGAGGAGCTGAGTAGGCGGCGGCTCAAGGTGTGAGAGCAAGAGGAAGCGTGCGTGCTGTGTGTGGTGGTGGCGGCGGCAATGGGGGAGGGCGGGCACACAGGTACTCAATGCAGCGCCTTGTGTGAAACCTAATGCTGGTTGGGCCCCAACACGAGCCATGGCATGGCAATGGAAAAAAAGACATATATATATATGGGTAAAAGAAATGCAGCTAGATATTCTGTCGTGATATCCCTAGGATTCACTGTAAACACCTATATGTGACATTTTTTATTTCGAAAAAGGATCAGATTTATTATAATGATTCGTCGGAAGTACAAAACACTTCAAACATAATAAAAATTACATAGATGTCCATGGACCATCAAAAGACCATTGTCGCTGCCAGAATGAGCCGCCGACGCGCTACCGTTGCCGCTCCCATGCCGGAGCCGGCCTAACCTTATCGATGACAGCCGGAAAGTCTTTGTACACGTGCCCCTAAGGAGCAGCGCCTAGAGTCGTAGTCGTCGCCTTTGAACCCGTGAATCGGTCTGAAGAATCTGACACCAAATATCACCGTTGCGTACGCACTGCCAGAAACCCTAACCTCGCCGTCCCAAGCAGTTGTCAGTCATCTACGCCGGAGCTCCGTCCAATCCGTTCCAATGGACGAATTTCAAGAGGATCGGAGCCCGGAAAACAGACTCAAAGAAGGAATGCCGCCTCTGCGAGGACTAAAACCTCACATATCTACTGGCGGGGGTCGAGACACCAGGATTCTCCTCCCCGTCACGGGCCGCCGAAGCGGCAGACAGAGGGAAGACGAATTCATAGGCTCGCTGGTAGAGATTAAGGGGAGGAAAGCATTTCCAAGTCGTCTTGGAAGAGAGGAAAGAAAAGCAGTTGTCCCCCACCTGTATGTGACGTTAATTAGTTGATTAATATTGAAATGAGCGAAGAGCCACATCCTCCACTAACGTATGACTCCTCTTTATTTTCTTTAGCCAACGATAAACGCTCTATGAGCATCTCAAATAGCTGTCCTGTATTAGGGCACGAAAAACGGGAGTTGTAATAAACATTAGAACGGAAATTAATTTTTTTGGGCATGAGCAAGTGTCATCCCCAATATTTGCCTTAAAATAGGGCAGCCCTCCGCAAACTTATGCTTCACAATAGCATATGTATTGAACAAAACTTTAATTATATATATAATTTTACCTTTGCAAAATCACCACAGACATAATAAATACGAGCAAGAAGGCATGGTAACTACACTCATTGGCTGTAGTTACAATTTTTTACTTCTCCCCCACATTTGGACCTGATCCGACAACGTGGCGTATGGGGGACTAGAAGGCTAGCTCTGCCGAGAAGCAAAATGCTCGCCGCCAGTGCCGCCATGGTTGACGGCCGCATCTGCGCGCGCTCGCGCTCGAGGGGGTATGGGGGTGTCGATGAGCTCTGCTACTATAGGATATAATTTTTAGGCTGAATCGACGAGGGAAATGCGTAGAGGTAGAGCACGATGGCTGGGTCGGGGCGGCAGTAGAGGGGATGGTATGGTCGGTGGCGGTGGCGTTGAGGACGGACATGGCGGTCCGGTGGCCGGAAACGGTGACATGCATGCAGAGCGAGGCGGGGCTCCGATCGCGAGCGGGAAGAAAACGGTTGGCGGTTGTGCGTCACGGGCAAGTCGCTAGGTTTTACAGCAACCGCCCAATTGTTGTATACCTGCAGCACTTTGGGCTGCATTTTAGGGCTGCCCAGAAAGAAATTTGCTTGAAATATGCGATCGAACAACTGTTGAAGGATGTTTTTTTCCTTTCAAGTTCTCTGAAAACACACGCTACCCTAAAATATGGTAGGTATTGGAGATGCTTTAATAGCAAGTATAATAGAGTAACGTAAGACATTACACATCAAATTTGTGCCTTGTTGGAGGAGAGAGGACATGAAAGAGAAGAGAAGTGGGCTACAAGCTTACAACCGGTTGTAACACAAACTCCAACAACCTTTGTGAAAGAAAGAGGTGGACCGCACAATAATGATATGCCATCCTAGTAGTACTACTAACTATTGTATGAGCGGACTATTAGATTGGCTGTAAATGACATGCCAACTACATATAACCGGTTCTTGGCTGTACTATTAAGAGCAAGTACAATGAGATGACATTGAGCAGACTATACAAGCTAAAATATTATATATTTATTTAGTTGAAGGAGAGAGAAAATAAGAGAGAAGCAAAGCGGGATGTAGAATAAGAGCCGGCTATAGCATGGGGCTTAAAACACTTTGTATGATTGACCAACTATTAATAAAATATTATATATTCAAATTTTATTATTATACAAGCCGGTTATTAAATTGACTCTAAATGATGACAATTTCTTATAACTAGCTGTTGGCTATATTATTAATCATGCTCTAACCACCGCTGGATCCACTTAATTAGAGCGACCAACAAATCACAGTCCTCTCATTCAATGCCCCAAAATGCGTGCATATAAATCGTCCCTAGGTTGGTCTTAAATATATTTTTTGTGTGACAAGGCTGGTCGTATTGTCGTTTGAGGCATCTCATGTGGTCCGCCATCACAACGGGCAGAGAGCCTGTTCATCTCAACAATATTTTAAACCCTGGATTGCGGCAATTAGACTCCATCACATGCTTCCCCTGCAGTGGTAAAGTGAATTTGATTTGTTTACTGTTCCCCACAAAAAAACATAAATTTTTCTTTTTGAATCAGAGGGGTTTCTCCCGGTCACAACATTTATTAAAGCCAAGGCAACAAGCATACAACGTTTCACAGCTCGCGGCTATAGCCAAAGTTACGACAACGGCACTATTACATCTGCGTCGTAGCAAACACAATTTTCCAAAGTCTCAGGCAGGGCCTATGAAAGGAACACAGACACAGAGGAATGTAAACCTAACTAAAGCCCAGGGGAAGAACCCTGCCAAGCAGTCCTACTCGCCGATGATCAAGCGGTCTAAGGCATTCGAGGAGTATAGTGGCTTGAGCACCGGAACACAATATCTTCTAATGTCGAACCAGAGAACCATAACCAGAGAACCGAGCAAACCGGGACGCACTTCACACTTCGCCATTCTCGTCCTTAAAATACAAAATCATTGCGCCAATGCTATAGGTAGAAGCTGAAACAAAGCGACGTTTAGCTATGTTATCATTGGTTAAACTCTTGTTATGTGTGATAGCCATAAGGCTGGTTATAGTGGGGAGTAACTTATACGACTGCTCATAATGGGAGTAACTTCAGCAGTAACATAAGGTCCAACTCAGCAATTTTGCTTGTGTGGCAATGACTTAATCAGATAGATGATTTGAGTAACATAGCTGGTTAATCATACTATGAGTAACATCACACATACCAAGACAAGATAATTCCAGAACTAATAAATTAAGTGTTGTGTGACACTAGACATATGTTACTCCCCACTATAGAAGTCGTAACATAGGCTAGTAACATATGCATGTTACTAAGTTGCTCCCCACTATGGGTAGTTTACGAGTGTCATGCATATGACACTAGTCTAAGTTACTGCCTCCGTAGTGCAAAGTAACATAGTAATCGTGTCATAGATGGCTTCATTTATTAGCTTTAGACTCATCTTTTGTCGGGAAGCACTATGTTACAGTAACATATTACCCCTCGCGTCGCCTCCCCTCGGGCGACGCCATGGGCTCCCCAAAACCTAGCCACCAGACTCCCTTGACACTTCCCTTTCCACCGGCTAGGGTCGCGGTGGCGGAGGGCCCGGCGCCACAGGCTCCTGGGTGGGTGGTCTCGGCAGTTCCCTCGTGAGGCGGACGGGGCGTTTCATGCGGGGAGACCTGGGGCACCAGTTAGGGCGGCGCCCCTACTGCGCGGTGGCGATCAGAGCACCATGGCTAGTGGAGTGTTTGACCGCATGGGTAGTAGCGGTGGAGGTGCTCTATTCAAAGGGTGATTGCTCTTCGTGCAGATGGGTGGCAACGGTGGCTGTGGATCTGGAGTCCTGCCCAAATCCATCGCTGTGTGGACTCAGGTGGCTGGAGGCTCCCTGCTGGCGTGTTGACGGCAGCTTTCATCTTCATGGCGAGGTTCCGTCCGGTTACAGTCAGCTGCGAGATCGGGGGGACGCGACTTCCGGTGAAAATAGCGCTGCTACGGTCATGGTGGACGATGGCGGGGTCTGTGACATTGTTCCCTTCTCGAGACATCGTTGTTGC